CATACCCTCCCTCTCTGGGGGTCTTTTTAAGGGGAGAAACAGGAGAGGGTTGGACCCAGGGCAGAATAGGAAGGGGTGGGCTCCAGGACACCTTGGCACGCGCTGATTGGTGGCTCAATATCTTGGGGATGTCTCTGTTACAGAAGCCAGTAATGTCATAACTCCGCCCACCAGTTGGGAGGAGGGAGAAACTTACACTCATGACTTTTCACTCTGTAGCCATAACTCACTGCTGCTGCCCAAAATGTGTCATGTTTTCTCATTCAAATGTTGCAGCTAATTCAAATGGTCTAAAATGCCCACGTTTCCAGACCAGGCCAGTTCATGGGCACTATCTCGCTGAAGGTCTGGATGCCTTTTGGTGCAGAGCCTGTGCTCAGGAGTCTTCTAGGGCAGTGGTCGTCAAACTCATCAGCCAACAGAGCCAAATATCAACAGTACGATTGACATTCCTTTTGAGAGCCAAATTTTTAAAACTTAAACTTCTACTAAATGCTACTTCTTCAAAATAGACTCGCCCAGGCAGTGGTATTTTGTGAAAAAGCCACGTTCAAGGAGCCAAAGAGCTGCATGTGGCTCACGAGCCACAGTTTGCTGATCAGGATTCTAGGACAGCACAGGCTGTGCCCTTTGAGGGCTGTGGGCTGGGCGATTCCCCTGTGGGCACTGAACTGGGCTGGCATTGTGAGGAGTTGTAAAAGATGTTTCTAGCTCTCTATCCATCTCCCTTCCTCTCTGTAAAAAATTAATAAAATACATATTTAAAAAAAAGAATTTGCCTTCCTGAACTCTCCCACTCTGAAACTCACTAACCATAGCAAGAGATCCTGAAGATTGCCATGGGATGCTGAGTGCATTTATCCAACTCGCACTGGCACAGAGGCCCAAGTGTACAATGGCTTACGTAAGTTAGATTATTTCTTGACTAGAGGCCTGACGCACAAAATCGGGTAAGGGGCTCAGCCCTTGCAGCCCCAGCTGCCTTGGCCCTCGCAGCTCCGAGGCTCCACCTCCCCACCCACTGGTCTTTCTGGAAGATTGTTCCGGAAGGTCATTCCACAGTCCAGTCTAATTAGCATGTTATCTCTTTGTTATATAGGATTACATATCAAAGGGAAATAAGCAGTCCAGAGCAGATTTGATGGGTCTATGGTGTTGGGGCCTACCTCTTTCTGCCCTGTTGTTGTGTGATCCCTGGGGTGTTGGCCTCCTCCTCATGGATCAAGATGGATTGTTACCACATTCCAGCCAGTGGGAAGGGGCAAAGCACTTCCCTTTGCTTTGCACACAGGAGTTGGACTTTGCCTACATCACTTCCCTCACACCTCATCAGCCAGAACTTGGTTATGTGGCCACATGAAGCTTCAAGGGCAGCTGGATGATAGAGTCTCTATTCTGGGTGGCCGTGTCTCCACCCGAAATTTGGGGATTCTATTTCTAAGGAGAAAAGGAAGAATGGATATTGGGGACAATGTCATCATCATTTTCCTGTCACTCGTGTTGACCCTCTCCACCATCTAGTGTGTCATCGCCTCCTGGCACACCTCCCTAGGCCCTCTCCTTCTTCCCCACAGATGCCATCGAGGACTGGGCCCTTACTGCCCTATACCCAGGGTCTGAGGACAACCAACACACTGATGCCCTGCCTCCAGTGTCTCTCCCCAGCTCCCCTCTGTGAACACTCTAAAGGGCAAATCTGATTTGGCTCCAACATTTAGAAATTCTTCAATGGCTCCCCGCTGACCACAGCAGTGAGATTTTAACTGCAGATTACTGAATTCCTGAAATTACATGCAGATTTTGCAGATTTATGTGCGTTTCTCTGAACAGAGCTTCAGGCTCTCAAAGAGGTCTCTGATGCCCCCTCAAGTTAGAGGCTTAAGTCCAAATTCCTATCTCAACCTACAAGTATATCTACTAACTTTCCTCTTAAATCTACTCTTCACCCACTTTCCCCATGCCACCTAAACTGGAGTCTTTCTGCAATTCTCTCCATTGCCCAGACATCCATGGTCTTCAGACTTCACATCTTTATACCTGCTGTTCTATCTAGAATGCCCTGGCAAACTCCTTCCTCCACCTCCTGTGGCTTAGAGCAAGGGCCACCTCCTCTGTGAGGTTTCCCTGACTCCCTCTGGCCAAGTACGTCTCCACAGCCCTCTTCAGACCTCCATTACTCATCCTGTTCACAGCCGTCAGCCGGCATCTGTTTCCTCCACCAAACCATGAACTCTAGAGTCCAGGCCCAGGACAGATAGTCCACAAATGTTTGTTGAATAAGCATCACTCATTCCCACCCCCCACCCCCACCCTGAGTCCCCATGGAGTACTCTTTTTAAAATGCAACTCTGAGTGTTGCTTCCTGTGTTCCTATTTCCTTCAAATCCAAACTTGGTGCAGTGGCCTTCTCCCTGGCCTCATCTTGCAATCTTTCTTCCTTCCTATCTTTCTTTTTTTCTTCTTTCTTTCTCAGAACACTGAAGTTCTTTTAATGCCCAAATCAATGCCTCTTGTTTAGAGGTTTTATGCATGCTTCTTGCTCTGCCCCTATTTGCCTGGCCTATGTCGATGCACCCTTCGGATAACATAACTATTCTCAGGAAGCCCTCCTGGGCCCTCCCTACCCTCAGACTAGGTTGAGGGTTCCTCCTAGGTATCCCTGTGCACCTTGTCCTCGCCAGTCACAACATGCATCATGCTGTTCCATGATGACTTGTCTTCCTTCCCTGTTAAACTGTTAAGTTCTTGTCTACCTTGCTTATATACCCAGCCCCAAACACACTATTTAGAAGGAAGTGGGTATCTGATAAATCTGTGTTAAATGAGAGCTAGGTATCGATAAATCAATTTCTCCATCATAAATCTGGTTTTCAATAGCTTTCCATTGCCTTTGTTTTATTTTTTTAAATATATTTTTATTGATTTCAGAGAGAGAAGGGAATAAGGAGATAAAAAGAAATATCAATGCTACCTCCTGCACTTCACTTACTGCTGATCGAAGCCCACAACCCATGTATGTGCCCTGACCTAGAATTGAACCATGACCTCCTGGTTTATAAGACAATGCTCAATCACTGAGCCACTCCAACCGGGCTTTCCATTGTCTTTAGAGCAAAGCTTTATCTTAACTTTAGGGCACTTTGTGTTTTGGTTCCATGTTTTATGAGTCTCACCTCTTCCCAATCTCCCCTTCCACCCCAGCATCTTACTCAAACTCTCTATGACTGTCCTATTAAACTGAGTGAAGGCCCCCAAATGTCTGCTCTCCCATTGTTCATCCTTTGCAGCACTGGTTTCTCTGCCTGGCACACTCTACTTCAACTCACTTCTTACTCTTCCTTTTCTGGGTGACATCACCAGTCTTTGTTTTCAGTTCCAGGAAGCCTCCCTTAACTTCCTCAGATTAGCTCTGGGGCCTGTTATTGACTCCCCTCTAGTATCCTGGGCTCCCTTCTCAGCGTTCTGTTTTCCCAAGTAGATGGAGAGGTGACAGTCGGAGCGGTGTCACTATGATAACTCTCATGCAAGCCTAGGACTGGCACATCAAAAAAATTTGTGGAATAACCTATGTTGCCTGATCATATTCCTTACTATTGGCACATGTATCCTGTCTTCCAAAAGCAGATTGTACACTCCATGAAGGCAGTGAGGAGGGCTTAATACTTGTCCCATCAGCCTGGTTATGTTGCTTGGAGGTTGTGCTGTCAGGCACTTGAGAAATCTGTACATCCGTGGGGCCTTGGCTTATGGTCCTAGGTAGCCGGGGTTGGGGTTCATGACCTCAGACACTGTTTTCGTGGGAGAGGCCTAGTCTGCTCTCTAAAAGCCAGTGTTGGGCCGAAACCGGTTTGGCTCAGTGGTAGAGCGTCGGTCTGTGGACTGAAGGGTCCCGGGTTCGATTCCGGTCAGGGGCATGTATGTTGGTTGCGGGCACATCCCCGGTAGGGGGTGTGCAAGAGGCAGCTGGTCGATGTTTCTCTCTCACCGACGTTTCTAGCCATCTCTCTCCCTTCCTCTCTGTAAAAAAATCAATAAAATATATTAAAAAAAAAAAAAAAAGCCAGTGTTGGGAACAGTGTCAGGCACCTGGCTGCTTGTAACAGATATTTGTTGAATGAGTTCTAGAGCCAAGGAAGACAGGCTGTGCTGTTCATTTCACTATGTTCTGGGCTCAGACATTCCAGGGGAACGGGATGGTTGTAGGGGATGAGATCATGTGTTTACTTTCCAAACTCAAGATTAAAACAAGCATTAAAAATCTCAGAAAGGATGGACAAAGTGTTTTTTTTTTAAAAATAACTCAATGAAAAACCAGATTGCCTTCTTAGTAAATAAGCTGTTTTTAATAGCTGGACCCAAATGACATTTTTTTTTTTTTTTAAATGTGACCAAATTAGAGTTGCCACCTTAAAGTGAGATGCAGAAATGGACCCCAGCCAGCAGGTGTGGCTCAGTGGTTGAGCATCAACCCATGAACCAGGAGGTCACGGTTCCAGTCCGGGCATATGCCCAGGTTACAGGCTCGATCCCCAGTAGAGGATGTGCAGGAGGCAGCCTATCAATAATTCTCTCCCCCCTCCCTGAAATCAATAAAAATGTATAAAACAAACATTTACAAAAAGAAATACAGCCTAGCCAAAACCGGTTTGGCTCAGTGGATAGAGCGTCGGACTAAGTGCCTGCAGACTAAGGGGTCCCGGGTTCGATTCTGGTCAAGGGCATATACCTTGGTTGCGGGCACATCCCCAGTAGGGGGTGTGCAGGAGGCAGCTGATCGATGATTCTCTCTCATCCATCGATGTTTCTAACTCTATCCTTTTCCCTTCCTCTCTGTAAAAAGTCAATAAGATATATTTAAAAAAAAGAAAAAAAAAAAAAAAAAAAGAAATAGAGCCTAAATTGGTAACACAGGACTCTGACCCCCATAATAGCAAATAAAACATTGCAAATTCCCAAGAACCAAGAGCAGAGAAATGCAAAGAAACTTTGAGACCCAAAGATTGAGGGGCAGCATTTTAATATAGAAACAGTCAAAAGCCAGAGCCCTGCTACTCCAAGTGTGGTGTGGCCCAGCAGCACTGGTTTCCCCCTGGGAAGTGGCTAGAAATGCAGATTCTCAGCTCCTTCCCCTCCCAGACCTCCTACATTCTAACAAGATCTCCGGGTGATCTGCACACATGTCAGAGTTTGAGAAGCACTGGAGTAGATTGATTAATGTGGGGGTTTGCTCTTGAAATATGCTTTTGGGGTCAAAATCAACCCAGTTAAAGCATTTTTAGCTTATTGTTTGCTCCATTCTCTCTACCTCTGAGCAACACCGCCATATGCCAGTGTCCTGCTTGGGGACTTTGAGCCTCTCTTGTGAATCCCAGTGGAAAACTTCTGTAGTCAGTCTCTGTGGATTAAAACTGGATTCCCAAACTTCCATCCGCTGTGCCTTGCACAACACCCCCAGGAGGTAGGTTGTATAATTTTTGTTTTTAAAATCAATGAAACTGGAGCCCAAGGAGGTTTGGTGACTCACACAAAGGGCAGCAAGCAAAGAGGCGTTTGTGTTTCCAATGGGAGGCTCACCGAACTCTGCTGTCTCTTTTTCATGTAAGGTGATTTTGTGCCTAAGACTTGAAGAAAAAAAACCAATTTGTAGATAACCCTGGGCAAGCTACAGCATGTGGGCCCTGGGATTATGGGAGTGTAAGAAAGAACTGTCCAGTGGAGACAGATGACACCCCAGGCTGGAAGGCTCTGCAGTCTGGGACCTCGGAAACCTCTGAGCTTCATGGAGCTCCTGCTTTGCTCATGAAGGGTATGAGAGAAAGGAGCTGGGATTCACACACAACCACAGATACAGTGATGAAGGGAAGGAGCTGGGATTCCCACACCGCCATGGACACAGCTATGAGGGAAAGGAGCTGGGATTCCCACACGGCCATGGACATAACAATGGAGGAAATGTGGTCTCCGACCCCGGGAGGATCCTCAGTCGGTTCACTTGTTTCTTTCAGGAGAGCTGGCATACCTGCCTCTGCGTCAATACACATGATGTGCTTCACTGGACTGGATTTCCTGATTAATCCCAACATCCTTGGAGCAAACTGGAGCCACAGATGGCCAGGACTGTCTGTCTGGCACTGACACCAGTGTGCTTCTTTCTGTCTGGCCTGAATTGAAGCTTTCTCTGTCTACCCCAACGGAGCCAAGGCCCCACACGGGGTCTGCTCCGTTTCCCCTGTCTGCCAGGTGATTCTCCTCGGTCATCTAGAGAACGATTGCAGGGATGACCATGTAAATCTCCCCGGCCTCCCTAGACATGAACATTCCAGGGGACACCTTCCTGTATGATGGGTTAAAAAACACAGAGATGGTGCACTTTAAAATTCCACGTAAAAAGTATTGTGTTTCTGATGTGCGCCTGCCCACCAGCTCCCTACGCGGTGCTATGAAGGGTAGAGTCAGGACGAATTCCGGGCTGGGCCTTTAGGGACTCTAGATGACACCAATGTGCCCGCCCGGCCCGGCTCCTTCACCCTGCTCTGCAGCCTGCGTTGGGGGCTTGACCTAAGGCAAAACTACAAAGCATCCTAATGAGCAGAATGATACCCCAGGAATGTATGTGCATATCTGACATAGCTTCTTCTCTTGAGGGGCGACCCTCTGGCTGTGACCCGTGCCCTCTCCCTGGGCGAGGGAGGAGTCCAGAGAAGGAGCCTTTTGTTCCCGGCTGCCAGTCCCTCCACAGCCCCTAGGGCTTCAGGGACCTGCCTTGCTCTGCGTGGGCCTGCAGAAGCTCAGCGATTTCCACATGGGCGGGCGGCTTCAGCGCGATGGATAAAGCTGTTCGGCCAGCCTGCAGCGGAGAAAGAGAAGGAGAAACACATTTATCCTGCCTGCCTCCCGGCCCAGAAAGCAAGGGCACGCTGGGAGTAGGGCTGTGCATGGGGCATAGAGTCTATTCCAAGCATCCAGAGGCCCGGGAGGGGAGGGGAGGAGATTCAAAGGGCACGAGAAGCATGAGAAACGGGCCCCCTCTAAGGAAACAACATTCACGCCTGGGAAATTCACGTCTATGGGAATAAAGTGTCTCTTGCCTTTAACACGCTTTATTTTAAAAATGGAAAACAGAGGGAAGAAAATAACTCTCCCATTTTTTTTTTTCCATTACACAGGCCTACATGGAAATTAGCATTTTGGTTTGTCTCCCTCTGCTCTTTTCTCTTGTCCAAATGTGTTATTGGTTTAACCAGAGGAATGACATCGTATATTAATTTTAAATCTGCTGGTATTTTGAACTTAACATGGCATGCTCTATGATTTTCCCACATTCTTATAGTCATCAGAGCACATCCCTTTTGTGATTGCCACATAACATTCCATAATGTACTGAACTGTTTCTCTTCCGTTGGAGACTTGGGTGGTTTCCAAGACTTCATCATCATAAACTTAGTGCCGAGAGCATTTTCTCATTTCTAATTATTTTTTAAGGACCCGCTCTTAGGAGGGAGCATGTCCGAGGAAGGAAATGTACAGTTTACCTCCTGATGCATGATACCCTGGAGCTGTGTCAGCATGCAGGCCCTATAGCTCAGGGGTTAGAGCACTGGTCTTGTAAAGCAGCCTGCAGTGGGGCTCTCACAGGCAGCGCCCGCCAGTGAGACGAGGGGAAAGGCCACCTCGACCCAGAGGACACCATCTGCGAGGGCAGCCACCTTCTTACGAATGGGCTCAATCATGTCTCCAACATTCTAAAGCCTAGATGTGTCTGAAAACCACTATGTTGATAACTCATTTGCCAGATAATTTGTAATTTTTCATTGTTCCTATAACCTGAGATGTCAAGAACCCAACCTTGTGACAAGTAAAAATGACATTGCCACCTAACCGGTTTGGCTCAGTGGATAGAGCGTCGGCCTGTGGACTGAAAGGTCCCAGGTTTGATTCCGGTCAAGGGCATGTACCTTGGTTACAGGCACATCCCCAGGAGGGGATGTGCAGGAGGCAACTGATCGTTGTTTCCCTCTCATCGATGTTTCCTCTAACCCTCTCCCTTCCTCTCTGTAAAAAAATCAATAAAATATGTATTTTTAAAAATGACATTGCCAAATCTCCCCGGAGGGCAAAATCACCCCAGAGTGAGAACCACTGGTCTAAGCCAAGTGTTTGAACCACTTGGCTTGACCGGTCTCCCTCTAATGGGCTCCCTACCTAACTCTAGACCTTCATGCTCCCTATTCCCTCCGGACTCTGCCTGGGAATGCCGAGGCCCCAGCTCTGTCATGTTGTTTCATTTCAGCTCTCACTGCTCATCTACTCATAAAAATGCAGCACTAACTGAATACCTCCTAGATATGGGAAACGGGCTTTACAACATTATCGTATTTAGGTAGCATCTATTATCATCCCCATTTACAGGCGAGCATACAGAGGCCCTGAGTGGTTAGGTGAATGGGCCATAAACTCAGTCACTGAACCCAGTTTCAAACCCAAGAGTGTTTGAAGCCCATGCTCCTAACAGTCACTGTTATTGTTTGAAGTACAACAAGCCTTCTCGCCATGACTGTTCCCCCACCTTCTGAATGCAGCCACAGCCTTACCTCTGTGCCTGACAGATCTCCAGAGGTGTCCAGGAGACGCTCAGTTAATCCCTGACTATCCAGGCTAACCTGGGACTGCCAAAGCTCATGCCCCTGTCCCACAGGCCTGCCTCCCAGGCCTCCCTGAGTGACAGGAGTGGTCACTCCAAAGAGGGCCCTGGGCCTGCTCCAGATGAAAGGCTGCTCCTTCTCTCCCAGGGCGTCCCTGCAGGGAGCTCATTCACGCAGATCCTTTGTCTGACTAGTAATAACGGGAGGTTCGTGTTTCCAGCAGCCCTCCACTGTGCTGTGCCCGCATGCATCTCAAGAGGGTCAGTGCTCTCTAATTATCCCACAAATAGCTTCTAGCTTTGGGACATAGCTGGGTTCCTGGGACCTGCAGACACTGAACTGGAGCGCGGGCTTCTGGTGTGTGATTTCAGGGACCAAGCAGCCTGACTCACTGATGAACCAATTGAGGGTAGATCAGACATGGCACAGTACTGAGAGGTGCTGTCCCTGGGGAGGGAAGCGACTCTCTTCCCTCCCCAGACCTTTATTCCTCTGGGACTGTAGATGTTATGAAAGTATAGAGAGGTTTGTTTAAAGCATAAAATGATAGTGCCAACATTAAGGACACTAAAGTCAGACCTGGGCTTGAATTCCTGCTCCAGGAATCAGCAACTTGATATTCTACACTAATAAAAGAGTAACATGCAAAATGATTGTACCTTCGTGATGCCCACCAGCCAATCAGGAGTGGGTATGCAAATTAACCCAACAAAATGGCGGGTTTATTTGCATAAGCAGACACCTAGTGGTTGGGACAGGTTGGAACACTTGGGTCATTGCCATAGTGACAACACAGGCATTCCACACCACCCCAGCCACTCTGGGCAACATGGGAAGGTGGAAAGGCGGCTCCGGCTGGAGCAAAGGCAGACCTGGCAGCCTGGGGAAGAAAGGCCCATTCTTACACGAATCTTCATGCATCAGGCTTCTAGTCCTATATAATAAAAGGCTAATATGCAAACCAACAGAAAGGTGGAATGACTCGTCGCTATGAGGCACACTAGCCACCAGGGGGCAGATGCTCAATCCAGGAGCTGCCCCCTGGTGGTCAGTGCACTCCCACAGGGGGAGCGCCGCTCAGCCAGAAGCCAGGCTCATGGCTGGCAAGCACAGTAGGCAGGAGCCTCTCCTCTTCCATGGCAGTGCTAAGGGCCCCACAGGGGTCCTGGACTACGAGAGGGCACAGGCCGGGCTGAGGGAACTCCCTGACGATTTACTTCTGTAGTTTAGGGGATCATTCATTCAACTGTTGATTCATTCACCTGATATGCGGCAGATACTCTACTGAGACTTCAGCAGGAAACCTGAAACACGGACCTTGCAATGTGACAACAATGACGATGATGTAGCAACTAAGAGTCTGTATTTAAGAATTTGATGGAGATGGGTTCCACTTGCTGTGTGATCTGGGATATGTTGCTTAACCCCTCGGTGCCTCCAGTTCCTTGTGAGCAAACAATCACCATCAACTGAGTCAACCTCATAAGATAGTTGAGGGATTTAAATTAGATCGTCCATGGTAAATGCTTAGTACGGTACCTGGCACAGAGAAAGCACTTGATGTATATGAACTAATATCACTGTTGTCATTATCATTGCCACCACCATCATTATTACCATCATTGTCATCACTTTACAAGGAAATTTATTTAAGAAGCATGCGGCTGGCATTGCAACTTCAAGCAGGCTGGCTTGGTGCAGTGGGTTATTTTGTAAGCGGATCACTGTCAGAGAGTAGGCATAATGTACACTTGGCTCCTTCATCCAGCCTTCAGGGAATCCCCATGAGCAGCAGAAGCTCCCCATCCAAGCTGCTGCCTTAAAGCTCACATGCTGTTATTGCCATGACCAGAGCAGGTCAGGGCCAAGGCCAGGCCTGGTTACATTCCCTCATGATGGTGTGAAAGGCTAGGGCTTGGGGTTTCCCAAATCCAAGGCTCTAAGCATTTACTGTGGGTCATTTAAATTCCACAGCGGGTCAATGCTGAGGTTGAGTCTCTTGCTATTGCCATCTGGTTCCTTAAGTTCTTCTGGCTGGCAAGGCCCTTTATAGGAAGGGGAAGACCTCGAGAGGAGTCTCACCTTGTCTGTCAGGCTGCTGTCACAGGCCGGGTGTGCCAGGAGCAGCCGCACCATGTCAGCGTTGCCACAGTGACAGGCCAGCATGAGGGCCGACGATCCATCGTGGTCCTGCAGGTTGACATTTGCCTGGCAGCTCAGTAGCGCTTGGACCATGTCCTCCCTGTCGTGGCTGACTCCCAGCATCAGCGCAGTCTGGCCTCCCTGCACACAGAGCACAGGGGTGGGTCAGGCTGCCCCCTACAGGGCAGACTCCGCTCCTGCTTGGATGTGCTCAGGGATAAGTCCTCCAGAAAATGACCAATGACTTGGATTTTCTTCTGCCCCTGGTACGGGACACATCCTTCTCCACTGGCACACTTCTGCGGGTCCTCTAAGACACTAGACAAAAGCTACCTCGTCTCTAAAGCCCTCTACCAACTCCCAGGCATGGGATACACAATGGTCACTGTGTGGGGGTGCATTTGCTTGTTGGTTTGCTTGTACTCAGCCCTGAGGTAATGGCACTTACCACTAGGCATTACAACCTGTCAATCTCTTTCTCGAGGGATGAAAGTTTTTATGGCAGGGACTGTCTTTTTCATCTCTGTCTCCCCAGTGCCTCCCACCTCGTATGTGCTGACACATGTCTAATGATGGAATACATGAGGACTGGATGCTTCAGGACCATGCCTTCTTACTGCTGCCCCAGCCTGACTTCATCAGGAAGCCCTGGTCTGCTCTGACTTTGCCTCTGGGATTGTCAGTTTAATGGCACCCAAAGCCCTCTTGTCTCAAGATCTCAAATGGCTCTGTGGTTATTTCTAATCTATATTTCTAATGCACTGACTGTTCCTTACATCCCTACGATCATCCATGGGCATGGCTCTAGTTCTGCTCTACCCCTCACTTGTCTTCCCTGAATCTTGGTTTCTCTTTTCTTAAAAATATAATAATGGCTGGGACCGGTTTGGCTCAGTGGATAGAGCGTCGGCTTGGGGACTGAAGGGCCCCGGGTTCGATTCCGGTCAAGGGCATGTGCCTTGGTTGAGGGCATATCCCCAGAGGGGGGTGTGCAAGAGGCAGCTGATCGATGACTCTCTCTCATTGATGTTTCTAACTCTCTCTCTCCCTTCCTCTCTGTACAAAAATCAATAAAATATATTTAAAAAATATATATATATATAATAATGATCTATCCTATGTACCTAATAGGGATTTTGCAGAAAACAAATAAGGTAAAAGTTGCAAGTATGATATGGTAAAGTAACATTTTTCTGATTACAAATTGACCATAATTTCTCATAGATTTTCCTGTGTATGCACAGTCCTCTCAGGCATTGATTGAATTTGCCCTCATGGTTCTCCTGGGTTCCAGGCAGATCAGGCTTGTCCCTCTGACAGGACTTTGTAAGGCTGCAAGAACGAGGCAAGGACTATGTGTTCTCTTCTTTCAGATCCCCCGTGGCTCTGAGCACAGTGTCTTACAAGTAAAGGTGCCAATGACACGTTTGCTGATATGTTCACTGATTAAAGAGCCAATCTGCTGGCACTGATGGATTGTGCGTCCCGCCCAGAGTGCTGGGGCTTAGAGAAAAGAAAGGGGGTTGGCAATCACAAAAGTCCTCGCTCTGCCACTTACTGCCTGTGTGAATCAGTGACTTTGCATGGTCTGGTCCAGTGGTCGGCAAACTGCGGCTCGATAGCCACATGCGGCACTTTGGCCTCTTGGGTATGACTCTTCCACAAAATACCAGGGCCTGAGCGAGTCTATTTTGAAGAATTGGCATTAGAAGAAGTTTAAGTTTAAAAAGTTTGGCTCTCAAAAGAAATTTCATTTGTTGTACTGTTGCTATTTGGCTCTGTTGATTAATGAGTTTGCCGACCACTGGTCTGGTCAAATGGAACCGATTAACAATAAATGTTACCTGCCTCATGGGGTTGCTGTGAGACCTGAGCACTTAGCAAATGCTCAGTAACTACTGTTGTCATTATAAGGGTTAGAGAGAATGGTCAGTACATGGGAATGCATTTGCTTTGCTTGTACTCAGCCCTGAGGTAATGGTTGCTTACTGAATTAACCAGATCAGGAGGTTTCCATCCAGACCCGTCCCTGCAAGTGGTATTATAAAGCCAACTGACATATGCAGATTGTCTTCATGTCTGCCCTCTGCCTGATTCAGGGCCCCTTCCTTTTTTCATCTCCTTCCTGGTCCAGTTCAATACAATCTAATATAATGATCATTTACAGAGCACTGCTATCCACCAGGTGCTGCATGGGCCCTGGAGGTACAAGGAGAAAAAGCAGCTTATCCCAAGATTCTCCAGCTCCCAGCTCACTCCAGTTAACCTGGTACCTGCACTTCTCATCATAGTGAGAACCCCAGGGGGAGCTGAAGGGAGCAGCCACAGCTATGAATCCCCATCCCTCCTTTCATGACCTGGGCTGCTGAGTCCCTTACCCTCTTTGACCACCAGTGTCTCCTCTGTAAAAAAAAAAAAAAAAAAAGGGAGTTGATTTTGATTATAGATAAGCATCCCCTCTTGTATGAAGATGTTTATATAAAACATATGTTTTATTAAAAAAAATCCATACGTTTATATAAAACATATTAAAATGAAAACAGCTTGACTCATATGCAGTGGGAGCTATACACGGGTGAAAACCAGAACATAATCTACACATGTCTAATTCTCACCATCAATAGGATTGCTGTGAGATAAAGTCTGCGAAGTGACTTTGCCATCACCTTGGCCTGTGATCACTTCGGTGGTGGGGGAGTGGAGTTTTAACATGTTGCTGGGAGACCATTTTCCGTGGGGTCCTTGGATTTATGCATATTTTGTGAGCGAGGCACTATCTTCCCGTTTGTTCTAGACTGTCTTTTTTAAGGATGTTTGCACAGTGACCAGCTTTGGAAGACAGAGACTGCCTCCTCCAGAACAGAGGGCAGATATGCTTCCTGGCCAGCATAAAAGATTCAGGTTTCCAGCTGAAACTGGTTTGGCTCAGTGGATAGAGCATCAGCCTGCAGACTGAAAGGTCCCAGGTTCAATTCTGGTCAAGGGCATGTACCTTGGTTGCAGGCACATCCCCAGTAGGGGGTGTGCAAGAGGCAGCTGATGGATGATTCTCTCTCATTGATGTGTCTAACTCTCTATCCCTCTCTCTTCCTCTCTGTAAGAAATCAATTAAAAAAAAAAAAAAAGATTCAGGTTCCCTAAGCTCAGGGTTCCTCTCCAGCAACACAACCCACTCTGTGCACAGGGATCTGGCCCTCCTCACAATGCCCCGAGGCAGTGGTCGGCAAACTCATTAGTCAACAGGGCCAAATAGCAACAGTACAACGATTGAAATTTCTTTTGAGAGCCAAATTTTTTAAACTTAAGCTTCTTCTAATGCCACTTCTTCAAAATAGACTCGCCCAGGCCGTGGTATTTTGTGGAAGAGCCACACTTAAGGGGCCAAAGAGCCGAGTGTGGCTTGTGAGCTGCAGTTTGCCGACCACGGCCCTGAGGGAATGGGGAACTGGGTTGTTTCGGGGAAGTGGTGTAAATGCTAATGCTGTGGCTGCTACTACTGCTGTAATGCACTGACCTTCGCCTCTGGCACAGGAGTCTTGTGCCACCTGCCGGCACCCAAGATAGTGTAGCACGCTAACTTGCTAGCTTTAAGGTAAAGTAAAATCTCAGGCCCTTCACAGTTCTTGATAGTTCATCTACCTCCTGTGATCACTCTAGGGGGGAAAGGAGAGTTGGACGCACTCTGCTTGCTCTTGTATTTGTCGAAGACTGGAAAATAGCCTTTGGTAGGTTCGCACTGTCCCATTCGGAGCCTTGTCTAACTCGGAGCCCTACTGGGTTAGGACCCAACCCCTACTCTGTGTTCTCTGGGAGGAGGGCCCAGCAGCTGAACAGAGACATCCCAACCGCCTTACCTGCTCTGCAACTCATGACTAAGATGGATCACCTGCAGGGCTTCCTGGAGCGGCCCACTGGCACATGCCTTCCGAAGGTGCTAACTGTGGGAACGTTTGGCTCGAGAATTTCAATCCAGATGGAATTGGTCCAATTTTAGGCTGGGACATAAATCACAAGCTTCCTGACCTCTGTCCCAGCCTGTCTGGGTCTCGGGAGCTTTTGCGGCAGCCAAATGGTCAGGCTTTGGACACAGGCCATTTGGAAGCCCCGGCCTTCCCGGGTTAAAAAACATTTTGCGGATTTACATGGAATTTCTCATCCCACTGGCAGAATAAAGCTGGGAGGTTCCCGCACTTAGGAACGTGGAAGCCAGTTGACCTCTCCTACCTGGGTAGCTTGGATGTTCACATTTCCTTCTCGTAAGAGCTTCCAGACGACAGCCATGTCCTCATCCGTCTCCGCAGAAGCCAAGGGAGTGATCATCACGGCGGTATAGCCTGCTTTGTTCTGATGGTCCACATTGCAGACGCCTGCAAGAGAAGCAACAGCGCTGGAACAGCTCCCGAGAGGCCAGGAGCCAGACGCCTGGGCCTGTTAACAGGATGCTGCTGGTTAGAATGCAATAGAGCAATCCTTTCCCAGGGAAGGAATCGATGCTTTCTATTTTTAGCAGCCTTTAACACTGGCTAATTTCTTCACAGGTTTTCTGAGGATACCCAGCAAGGAAGGGCCAGGGCAGGTGGCCAAGTGGGCCAATGGCCATGACTTCATCTCCTAAGGTGGAGCACAGACCACGTTCCCATTTTATAGATGAGGCCCCTGAAGGTCAGTGAAGCTACGTAAACTGCCAAAGAAAAGGTGAAGTGGGACCGGGGCTCAAGTCTATATGGCTCTAAAGCCCACCACTCCCCTGGCCACACTTTTTTTTTTAATATATTTTATTGATTTTTTACAGAGAGGAAGGGAGAGAGATAGTCAGAAACGTCGATGAGAGAGAAACATCGACCAGCTGCCTCCTGCACATCCCCCACCGGGGATGTGCCCGCAGCCAACGTACATGCCCTTGACCGGAATCGAACTCGGGACCTCTCAGTCCGCAGACCGACGCTCCACCACTGAGTCAAACCGGTTTCGGCATGGCCACACATTTTAAGTGTGTCTGTGTGTGATTTTTAAGCTGGTGGCTGTGTTTGTATCTCCTTGCCAACGCCTGGTGATATGCTGTGTAATGTACCAGAGGGTGTGAAAACGCCCCAGGATAAACATGGGAAATCTTTAGGAACACCATCTCACTTGAAAAACAGGGGAAGCCCTGGCTAGTGTGGCAGGTCACCAGTTCGATTCCTGGTCAGGGCACATCGAACCCGGCTCAATCCCCACTCAAGATGCATGTGGGAGGCAGCTGATTGGTGTTTCTCTCACATCAATACTTCCCTCACTCTCTTTCTAAAAGAAAAATAGGGGGGAAAATCTCCACAACTTTTTATGTTAAAATAATTAAGAATATACATTTTATAACAATGAAAAATTGGCTTATTTTAAAGATGAAATATTAAATGAGAATTCAAAAGAAATTTCTGGTTTGGAGCCCTGGAACTATGCATTTGTATTCCAATACCATAGGAGATAGTAGAAAATCATCAGCTTGTTATGTGTTGTATAAACAATCCCACCTCTTAAGGGGAAAACCAAATCTTCTCTGTACATTTGCTTATCTGAAAAGCCTATGTCTCTTTTGGACAAGAACAAAACTATCTCAGGAGATAAAGGTTACTTGCCCTTTCCTAGCATTCCTTCTATAAAACAGGGATAAGCCAGGTTTGGCTCAGTGGATAGAGCGTCACCCTGTGGACTGAAGGGTCCCGGGTTCGATTCCAGTCAAGGGCAGGTACCTTAGTTATGGTCACATCCCACTAGGGGATGTGCAAGAGGCAGCTGATTGGTGATTCTCTATTCCTCTATCTTACTCTGTAAAAAAATCAATAAAATATATTTAAAAAAACAAACAAAAAAAACAGGGATAATAACAGAATGCGTCTCAGGGTTATTGTAAATTTAATGTATTTATAGATTTAAAGTACTTCGAACACCTACCATACAGTAAAATCTTAATAAGTGCTATTACTACTATTATTGTCCACAATGGTATTCCTGTCTTTACATCCTTTCTACCTGCTCATGAAGAAAGACTTAGAGCCCTGGCCGGTTTGCTCAGTGGTTAGAGTATCAGCACAAAGGGTCTTGGTTTGATTGTCCGTCTGGAATGAGGAGGCACTCAAAAAGCAGTAGGTGTCATTGTTACTCATGTTTTATAATGAAAGCCCCTATTTTATGATGTACCTTTCTCAGTTGAGCTACCTCTTAAAATTATGGTGTCCGTGAAACTACAAAGAAATGAAATCCAGTAAAACTGGCTCAATGTGTTTCAATGCCTTCAGCTTCCTCTGATGATACGGGATGCAGAAAGAACTTTACGCTGTTATTACATGTGTCACCTATGGATTCAGGTGAAGAGCCTCAAGGTTGCTTAATGGAATTTTGGAGAATTGGAAGTTTACTGGAATTTAACATAGCTCCCAGGAGTCATCCATCCGCTCATTCATTTAATACATATATTCACTCAACACCTACTGTGAGTCAGGAACTGGCCTAGGTGCTGAAAGGAAGAGACAGACAAAAGCCCCATTTGACTGAGTTTGCTGAGTTCTGTTGGGTAGAAACGACCCCTAACTACTGTGTAGTTATTAGTATTAGGTAGTGTGGAGCTCACTGTAATCCATACATACAGTATATCTGATGAAGGATGAATGAATTAAATGAGTCAAATTGGCCAAATGGAGCCACGGCCTTTGTTGTTGTTTTTTTAATTGAGTTTATTGGGATTTCATTGGTTAATAAAATTATATAGGTTTAAGGGGGTACAATTCTATAATACATCATCTGTATATTATATTGTGTGTTCACCATCCCAAGTCAAGTCTCTTTCCATCACCATTTATGTCCCCTTTACCTTCTCTACTGCCCCCCCACCCTCACCCCATTTCCCTCTAGTAATCACCATACTATTATCTGTCTATGAGTTTTTGTTGTTTTTTGCTTAACTTCTTCACCTTTTCCACCCAGGCCCTTTACCCCTGCCATGACCTTTGTTAAAAATTCTTAAAAGATGGTAACATGTGCCTTCCTAGAGGCAATGTGGTGTAGATTTGGAGTTAGACAGGCTGAATACAAAACCTGACTCTACTATTTACCAGCACTGTGACCTAAGCCTCAGGATTCTCAACTGCAACAGGAGAAAAATAATCCCCACATCACAGAGTATGGTGAAGCTTAAATGATATGCTAAAAGCAAAATGGTCTCGCCCAGTTCCTAGAAAACAGAAGGAACTCAGAAAAATAATCCCCTTCCTGGAAAGAAGAGAATACAAGAACTGGCTCTCAGGGAGGGACCCAGAGCATCCATGCAACCATTTCTGACCTGTCTCCAGCAGCAGCTTGACGATGGAGAAGTTGGAGTGGGACACACTGTAGTGAAGGGCCGTGTTTCCGTTTCCGTCAGCCAAGTTGACAAGCAGCTTTAGGAAGTGTGGGGAGTGAGACTGGAGGTAGGCAGCCACCACAGCAGGACTCGATGACTTCCGGCTAGAGACGCGAAACCACTCTTGACTGATGGTGTTCAAGTTTTGCCTCTGAAATACCAAAAGATTCCAATTCCATAAGGTTATCTGGCCTGGGTGCTCCAACTGCAGTATTGGTTTCTACCAGGAAAAGTCAGCTTTGGATGCTTCCACTTCTATTTGCTCGCTCCCTCCAGCCCTCCATGTGACTGATTCCTGGAGGGCTCAGGGCAAGTGGGGTTGAGGATGCAGCAACATACATACTTGGAACCTGAGCGATTGCTCCTGTCCTGGGTGAGGTGGAAAGGAGGAATGGGAGAGCAATGCAGTAACCAGTAACAAAGCACTTTGTTGGGTCATATTACAGTTCGAGTCTACTGTAAGTTTAGGTCACAGCCCCTGTATGCACAGGATAACCAAGACTTTCTCTTTCAAGGGCATCTAGCCAGTCTATATTGACCTTAGCCCAGACTCGACCAAGAATGTGTTTTCAATAGACACAGACAGAAAGTGACAACATTTTACTGATTGGAGCAATGCTGAAAGCCAAGGCAAACAACACAACTAACTTATGCTCAGCACAAAAGCCAAACAGCTGTGCTGGAATGACTCTTTGCTCTTAAGTGTTGCTAGGACCTTCAGAGGAGCAGCTGAATAATTCAGGGCAGGACCCCACTATCCAGGGGGCTCAGTTCCTTGCAACCACGAAAGAGGAGCGTTCCAGAGCAAATGACATCGACTCTGTGTGACATGACCTCAGTGTTTAAAATGGAACATGGTTAGATTACCTGCCTCTGGGGATGCCAGCATCAGAAATGGTTCCACACTCATTCTGGAAAGAGTACTGGATTTGGAGTCACTAAACGAACGTGGCCAGATGTAAGCCCTGGCTCAGCTATGTGACCTTGGAAGTCATATAACCTTTTGAACCTTGTCTTGTCTACAAAATTGGGTGCAAAAAGGGGCTAGCTCCCTAATCTCCCATGGCTCTACAGAGCGAGGTCCTTATACAGCCTGCTTTCTCTCTGAGGGAAGGTTGGCAGGGGTCTTGTGCTCTGATCCTAACATGCATATGGTGTCAGGCTTGCAAATCTGCTAACCACTTTTCTAGGCAGAAATAGTGGAATCTTTTGTGGGTGAAACACTTTTTTATATAACAACTCCTTTGCCCATGGAATCTTTAGGAGAATTGGAAAAAAGACCCTAATATTAAGGAATATAGTGATAAAATTTAAGTGGAGAGCTAAGGAATAAATTAGTTCTGTAATTCATTCAAGAATAAGTAACAGGAATTTTAATATATCCACATCACTTATTGTTGTTGTTTGTTTTTTTTTTGTTTTGTTTTGTTTTTTTTAAAACAATCTGGGAACAGTTATTTACCAAATCAGCTAAGATAAAGTAGCAAAAATGGGTTGGGCTAAATTGATCATTTTTACGCCTACAGTTTTGCAAAGGAGAAGAAAACAGGCTTTGAAAAATGCTTACAAGTTGAGTCTTATCAGCTGCTCTTGTAGCTGTATCTTTTGATTAAAAGTAGAACCTTATTGTTACATGTGTAAATCTCCATGGGCTATAAAGGTGTTAAGCAGCAAACAGATGTAGTTTCTTGCTCTTGGTCTCTTGCCAGTAGGTACACTTCCAGAAAAAGAGTAAAGACTACAAAATTAAATGCTAGGGCTTGAGGGTAATGGGAGAAACGCTGCCTACCACCCTTATTTTACTAATGGGGAAACTGAGGCCCTGACTATTGAGCTGGCTTGACCAATATCTCATAGATGGTGCTCCTGGGAATAGAACCCATGATTGCTATTCCACACACTCTTTTCCATTCTCCCCACAGTTTGCTCCACTTGCAAGACAATTTTGAGCCTAAGCCACAAATAATTGTATGACACACATCCAGGGTAAGATGCCTAATAACCCTTGATAAAAGCCTCTGAGCACCAGGCTTGCTTTCCAGGGTATATCTGTCAGTTTCACTTTCCCAGCATCATCCATCACCATAGGCAACAGGCAAGATCTGGGCAAATGAGGGAGCACCCAGAGGGCAGGGATTCACGCTGCTGCCTCAGCTAAGGGACCGACGTCACGCAGTTGGAACTAACTGTTTAAACAATATGGAATCTCTACACAACAATGAAAAATCAGAGTACCAAGAGCTGGTCAGTGGTGGTCCCGGTGTCTGGTAGATATTGGCTCAATGCCTGGCATGCATTAAGAAATTCTTCGGAGGGTTTATATCTAAAGAAAAAAAAATATATGTATCAGTCTCCATGTGGATAAAGAAGGTTATTCTCTAGCTTGACTTTCATTCTCAGCAGCTCAAACTGGGCCACTTCCCAGGACAAGGGCATTCCTCAGAAATATGGGGTGAATACAGTGTCCTGATGATGAGGCGTGGCTTCTGAGCTCCTCTGGAGACTGAGCAGAGCACACTGCCCTTTGTACTGTACCGTAGTGCCTGCCACGTACTAGGTTCTCAATACCATTCATTGAGAACCCAGTACCTGGCAGGCACTATGGTAGGCATTGTGCCTACTTTTCCTCATCCAGTCCTGAGATCAAACCTGCTTGGTTGCTGTTGTCTACATTTTACAGATGAAGTAACTGAGGTGACCACAGCTTAAGTACCCTGTCTAAAACAACACTGTGCGGACATAGGATTTGAATCCAGGTAAGCCCAACTGTAAAGTACTCTTTCATCATGCCACATGACCTCCCATCACTTTCAAAGAGTTACATCATGGTTGCCAACGGGAGAGGCAGAAAAGGTAAGAATCAGAAAAGACTTGATCGATTATAAACTGATGAACCAAAAGATAGATACAGAGACAGTAAAGCAACAAGCAGATTGTCAAATTTCAGCGGGGAGGGGAGGAGGATCTGGGGGAGATAATAGATCAACTGAAGGACTTGTATCCATGCATATAAGAACAACCAATGGACATAAAACTCTGGGGAGGGAGGGGATGTGTGGGAGGAAGAGAGGGGGGAAAAATCAATAAAATATGTAAAAAAAAAAAAAAAAAAAAAGACTTGATTGAATCCCTGCTCTGCTTAGCTGTGTCATTTAACTTCCCTAAGCCTCTGTGTCCACACCTGTAAAGTGGAGATTGTAAACATTTCTACCTGGAAGGGTTGTTTTTACAACTATGTAAGCATGCATGTCCTTCATATTCCCAGTGGTAGGCCAATGTCAGCTTTATCTGTAGAGCTCAATCTGTGACAGTCTACCCATGAAGGCAGGAGTTACATCTTTTTAGTTCAATCAGTGCACAGTACCTGGCATAGATGAGGAACTCAACAAATATTGGTGAATGAATAAACAAAGGAACAAACGATCGAATAAAAGGATGAATAAAGACCCCTGACCTACCTCAAAAGTTCATGTTTCCTAATCTATACCCATCGGACTCACCTCTCAGCCTTGGGAAGGAGGGGTTCTTCCCCAGGCCCTTTTCCCTGGCCTGTGTTGCAGGTGCCCTCGGAGATGGCTGGCCCTGCCTTGCAGCCTGGGTGGGCATCCTTGCCCCATCCGTGTTCTGGGCCATCACATTTCTTCTCAGCCTCGCTCTCAGACAAGTCTTCTGGGGAGCTGTCCTCTCCGCTGGTCTCTTCGCTGGAGGTGGTCTCATAGCTGGGAAAGGAGACAGAGGTGACTTGTTCTGTGCTTCCTGCCCAAGGCCTATTCAACAAGGAGACCTAGTGGGCTTTCGCTAACCCTTCCCAGCTTGCTAACCACACCCTCCATTCTCTATACCTGGACAAGGGGCTCCCAGGAACCTTGGCGTCAGAGATAAGTGAGGTTAAGAGCTCTGACTCTAAAGCCAGAGGCCATTTGGGGAGAAAAGATCATTAATGAAGATCTTGGCAGCAAACACACAGCACATGCCCTACTTGACCAATGCAATCGGATGATGTAGTCAGGCAACCCAAGGTTCTTACGAAAGCATTTGCTGTTGGAATCCTAATGCCCTGCCCATAGGAGGACCAACATTTGGTAAACATTTCCCATCCCCAACGCTCTGTTTTCTGAATTGCCTGCCACCTTTTCACGTCTTTGGGTGACTGTGGGACTTCTATTAGCCTCCCCCAACCCCTCCCTCATTATAGCCCAGCTTCCACCTGGCAAGGAAGTGGAAGCTGTCTACTCCCAGTCAGAATACCTGAACCCAGCATCTGCCTTTCTCAGCTGCAGCCTATTTCAACTATAGCTTGGAATAGCAGAGAAGGGCATGGGTCACCACTTCACCTGAGGTTCTCCCGCCCAGCTATGATCCTCATGTTCAATTATATGGGACTCTATTAAGGTGGCAGACCAGAGACCATGGAGGAAAGTCCTGGGAGATGTATTGATTCCTCTGCTGATAGTCAACAGGAGACCTCCAATGGACGAAGATTTCAGGCTTTAGGGCCTCTAGACACTGCCACAGAGACTGGGGAGACTGCAGCTTACACTGAACCCCTTCATGCCCCTTCTCTGAATGGTGGCCCCTATGTTTACTGTATTTGCAAACCCAGCCTATTATTTGGTGTGTTCACAATCTGTCTTGTTTAAGCCCTGAATATTTCTTCCTCTGTTGTGCTTGGAACAACCTTTTGCTTTTGTGCTTAATAGGGGATGCAATATGTTTACCAAGCAGCTCCTACATTAACATGGTTTCCATAAAAACTTCACCTGAAAGTTTGTTTATTCATCCACGCAACAGAAATTTACTGAGCACCTACTATGTGCTAGGCACCATTCTAAGTGTGCATCAAAGTCCCTGTCCTAACTGAGCTTATATTCTAGTAGGGAGAGGCAGAAAATAAACATGTAAAATATATATTCAAATAGTAAATACTGAGCCCTGACCGGTTTGGCTCAGTGGATAGAGCATCGGCCTGCGGACTGAAAGGTTCCAGGTTCGACTCCAATCAAGGGCATGTACCTTGGTTGCGGGCACATCCCCAGTATGGGGTATACAGGAGGCAGCTGACCGATGTTTCTCTCTCATCAATGTTTCTAAATCTTGAACCCTCTCCCTTCCTCTCTGCAAAAAAATCAATAAAATACGTTTTAAAAAAATAGTAAATACTGAGAATTGAATAAAATAATAAAGAGTAATGGGCTAGAGCAGTGGTCGGCAAACTCATTTGTCAACAGAGCCAAATATCAACTGTACAATGATTAAAATTTCTTTTGAGAGCCAATTTTTTTAAATTTAAACTTCCTCTAAATGCCACTTCTTCGAAATAGATTCGCCCAGACCGTGGTATTTTGTGGAAGAGCCACACTCAAGGGGCCAAAGAGCCGCACGTGGCTCTCGAGCTGCAGTTTGCCAACTATGGGGTTAGAGTGACGGGAGGAGGAACTGACTACTTTAATTCAAGCAGAACTTTTTAACCATGGCTGCACATTAGAATCACTCGAGAGTGTTTAAAATTCCCAGTACCTGTACTACACTGCAGACTAATTAAGCGGGAGCCTTTGGGGAGAAGACCTGGGCTCTGCTATTTTTAAAGGCTCCCCCGGGGGCAGCCATGGTTGGAAACCATTGCACTGGAGTGACAGCTACTGAGCACTGTCTGGGAAGGGAGCACTTTCAGCAGAGTGGACAACAAATGCAAAGGCCCCTGAGATGGGCCTGCCTCAGCACGTTGGAAGGAAGAAAGTCAGGAGCCAGCAGTAGGGGGCCTGCTTTACACTTTGAGATTAGGCTGATCCTCCTATTCTGTACATGAACTGGTGAAAGCTCAACCCTAAACAGCTTCTCCTCAGTGTCAGACGTTAGAAGGAGTGGGAATAGCAACTCTTCTATGACCCCATTTCATCATTTCTGACGTTTCCCTCACAGAATGTGCAACAGTAATGTCACTGTTGTTTGAATCTGGTATCTTCTTCCTCCTTGTCTGACCCAAATAAACAGGGGTTCCTACCACTTCTAAGTAGCCTCTTAGACCCCCGCACTGGCTGGACTGGGTGCCCCTCCTTTGGGTTTCCATAGCAGCCTACGCTTCCTTCTTTATTAGAACTCATCTCATCTTATCAACATCTCTCTATTTCCTGTGTAATCTTTCCCCAGGCCCACACTGTGAGCTAAAGGCAAGGGGCCATGATTTATTTGACATTTTTATCCCCACCACCTAAGACATTGTTGGCATTTCAGAAATGCATATTGAATAACTTATTTAGAAAATATTCTAGATCAGTGGTTTATTCTCTGAAATATATACGGTTTAGTTCATGTTCTAAGCCAACAGACATTGGTTGTTTTTCTTCCTCCTAAAAAAATGTTGGTTTGGGTTGCCCTAAGTTAGTAAAAGAAAGGGGGGAAAAATTAAAAGGCTGAAACTTAAAGTTCAACAAATGAAGAGTCTGTCCTAGTTTCAGTGTTGTGGTTCAGCTTACATGTCTTCCTTAAAGGGCCCACGTGTCCCTCGGACTCCCAGAAACCACCTGGAATCCTGGCCCCGGGGACACCAAAGCTAAAACTTATTAAAAGCACAGGATCCAACAGACCACAGCTGGCAAGGAGCCAAACACATGCAAACCCGAGATGGAGTTTTTAAAGGGCCGTGGAGAGTAATTCTCTTGAAGGAGAATGAAAACCAGATGCTTTCCCCTAGGAAAAGAGAGCGGAGACGACAGAGGGAGAGGCAGTGTGGGGGGCAGTCTGGGCTTCATGAGCGATGCTTACCCACCGTTAACCCCAACAAACTGAAGGTTCTTTTTGGTCCCATTACCTCCTGCACGGAAGCCATAGTCTTTCTTTTTCATTATGGATTTAAGGCTGGTCGACGGGGAGAGCTCTAGGCAGACACAACAGCACAGGTTAGAATGATCTTGGCGATGCAGCAAAACCGAGACTCTTGCTTTGAGGGGATCCAGAGTGAAGGTGTGTGAAGAGGGAGAAAGGGACAGGGAACTGGATGATGTCCACCAAATATGTTGAGGGTCTTGGAGGAGGCCTAGCCTTCTGGGGAGTGCCAACTGAAGTGTCCCTGGTCACAAAGCCCCTCTGTGTGGCTGACAGTGGGGGCACTCTTTAGAAGGAGCCCTGTGGTGTGGGTGCCACTGTTGTCTATGTCTTACAGCTGGGAAGTCTGAGACTCAGCCTTGCTCAGCAAATAGCAGAGAAAGAGGTGGTCAGTTAGTTCAAAGCACAGAAGTTAGTTCACGTGACTCCTGGTCCCACCTCTGCTCCCACCTCGGCCAGTTGACACCGTGATGTGGGACAAGCATGGGAGACACATGAGCAAGAGCACAAGTCTGGCTATGCTCAAAGGCAGAGGAGGCATTTCCTAATGGGCAAGACTAGAACTAGCACGGAATAATGAGAAAGCAGGCAATTTGCAATCTGTGGCAGGAAGCAGACTCGCATGCTGCTCATTGAGCAAAGCAAAATATGGTTCCACTTTATTCAACAGTGTATGGTCTGTTACAAGAGGAAATGCCGCTCAGCCAAAAGGTCAACATGTGTCACTCAAACTCCCCCCTCTCTTTGTCACACACACACACACACACATACACACACACACAATATTCAGACCTCAATATAACATTCCTGCAAAATTAGGCCAGAGAAAACCTCTAATGTATAGGAACCGGAGAGGATCTCAGGAAACAAGGAAGGGAGGCTGAGGTTTAGAGCATATACAACCTGGGCCACTGTCCACCCTAGACCTTGCCTTTGTGCCATGCAAATGAGCTATAGGCACCCCTCTGGGTGGACACAGTGCTAAAGGCTGGGCAAATGAAGAGGTGGAGAGTGGGCTGGACTTAAGCTCCTATATAGACACCCCCCCCCCCCCCCTCGGGCTGGCATCTCTGTGCCCTGTATATATCTGAACAGCTGTGCATCTTGCAGTCAATCCTAACCTCAGAGCAAGGACACAAATAGAAGCACACAACCTCCACTGTTACATAGGTCAGTTTCTTATTACACTAGGTTCCTAGAGGTACTTAAATCTTTTAAAAACATATGCATGCAATTAAAGCCCCTTTGGCTTGTCCCATTAAGGAGACATGGTTCCCTGTCTCGGGCACCAGTATTTACCCTTTGGCGGAGGAGTGGAGGGGTCCGGGGACTCCTGGGCTGGAGCCTGGGAAGAGTAGGCAGACAGCAGCAGGTTGAGAGAGCTCAGGAGCTGGTGCTGGATGCTGCTGAGCTTGGAGGCGGGCTGCTTGATGGCGCTGGCCAGCTCTGGGTACCCGTGCTCCAGGCAGTTCCACTGCTCCTGCAGGAGCTCCTGGATCTTCTTAACGTATTGCCCGATAGTGGCATCTGTGGGTGAGCTGGGTGGCCTGCCCGGGCCCTCCTTCCCCGGGAGCTCTGACTTGGCCTCCTCCTTCCCGGCTGAGGGAGCCTTTGAGTCTCTGCTCCATGAAGAGTCTCCTGCTCCCCCGACCGGAGGGTCTCCCTCCAGCTCAGAGCTTGGTTCTTCGATCCTGAGCTCAGTGGAGAGGCAGCTATGTAAAGAAGAGGCGAGGACCATCTCAGGGTCCTGAGGCAGTGACAGCTGGGATGGTGGCATAAATTCTGCTGGGCTCTGATCCCCCTGTTGATGACTGTCCTGCCCACACAGGTCATCCTCCTCTCCTCGGGCCCCCCAACTTTCCGATTCCGTGCTGCTCAGAAGGTTCACACCAATGCTCTTGTCACACGACTCCCTGGTCAGGAGTCCCTGGAGAGGCTCGGTGTTGACCATGGCATCCGCTTGGCCCTGGGTGTCTTTGGTGTTCTCGTGGCTCAGCTTTTCTGCCAGATGAGCGACCGTGCACTCCAGCTCTTGAATCCTCTGCCTCTTGACCTCGATTTCCTCCTCCTGTTGCTGGAGGGCAGCTCTGACCTGGGCCAGCTCCTCTGTTTTCCCTGACAACTCCCCCTCCAGGGCCAGGAGCTGCTGCCTCAGGCTAGAGACGCTGCCAGGATCCGTGGGGGCAAGGCCCAGGCTCTCCTCCGTGACCCGGATGCCAACGCTTCTCACGTCCACCTCCACGGGAGGCGGGGGCGGGATCTCGCTGATGTTGAGCTCGATTTCTTCCAGGGGAAGCTCAGTCTCCGGGATGGGGGATGGCAGAGGTGGGGGGCTTGGCGTCAGGCAGCCAGGGCTGACCACCACCTCCGCTCCTCTGGGGGGAAGGTTGTCTTTTGCATCCTCTGAAACTACAAGCGCATTCTGGGGTGAGAAGGGAGGCCTTGGGAGAGACAGGTGCTGCGGAGGGGCCTCTTCTGCACCCCGAGGAGGCTCCGCCCTCTCCCGGACCAGCTCCGGAATCCCTGGCACCAGGTCTCCAAACTCTCTGCCTGGGGGTTGGTTGGCAGCTCTTGGGGTGGAGTCGTGAACACCCGCAAATCCTTCCGCGGGGCCAAAGGCTGCAAGTGGAGGGAGGGCAGGAGGTGTGGGGGGCCCTGCGTTCAGGCTGGGGTCCTCCGAGGCTCTGGTCTGCAGCAGGGTGGCCGGCATGCTCGATGCTCTCAAAAGCTGGGGCCGTCCGCTCCCGGAGGGCAGCTCGGGGTCCTGGGAAGCAGCGGCCTCCAGCTGCCTGGCAGCCTCGGCCAGCAGGGCCTTCCTGTGGTAGCTCCCCTCACTGCCACCCGCTTGGGAGGCTTGAGGGTGCTCCCCAGGCGGCAAAGACTGGGTTCGCTCCTCGGTCCCCAGCGACACCTTCCTGACCAGCGCTGGGGACCAGGTTTGGTGGGAAAGAGCAGTCTGCAAGCGAGCCCCGCTGTCAGGAAGGCTGAAGTTTCGGGGCAACGTGCTGAACTTGGCCTGCTTGGCCCTTCTGTGGATAGGAATCCTCTTGATGGTGTTTCCCTTCTCAATGTCATCCACATACTTGAGGAAGTCCAGGTCTAAATGAAAGCCATATGGGGTCTCCACGGAGTAGGGGAGGCTCTTGGGAGGGCCTTTCTCTTCATCCCCCTGAGAGGACTGGGCTTTGGCTGGAAGACACAAGGCAAGTAAAAGAGGAAGCACAACGTTAATCAGAATCACAGGTGGTGAGGGCTGCTATCTATGATGTTGACTTTCTCCTGCATGTTCCAGACTCTAAATGATACTGCAATGCTCACAGTCTTTTGGCTGCGCTAAGAATCCATATCATTAAATCAATGTGTACTTAGGCAAAGTCTGCAAGGAAATGCGTAAGGAAATAGTTTCCAATTTGCAGTAGGTCAACTCAGTTACTACGGTGGAATCTGCCTGCAGACCGGTAAAATAAAATGGTCTCCTGCTGTTTTACTGGGTTTGAGTCGTGTAATTGCTGAAGTAAAGTGGCCAGGAATTTGCCATATCAAGGTGCTAATTGGAAATTATGAATATGGAAAGTTTCAAAGGATGAGCTATATAATTGTCTCAACATTAAAGAACCTTGCATTATTCAGGTACGTACGAGTAAACCTTGATAAAAGCAGAGACATCAAAGTCAGCCTTCTATGTTATTTAACCCTCCTCAGACTCCCAAGCCTAGGTGAAGATCAGAGAGCTCGGGAACACGTAATCATGCACAGCCCATACTCCTTTTCATCTGAAAACTTCTTAGTGCTTAACAGAGATGAACTTCACTTTCAAAAATTCATGTCAAGTAAGGAATGCCACATTTTTATTTATTTATTTATTTATTTTCACAAATTAGAAAACAGGGTTGAGGGAAAAGGGACATTGGCATACATCCTCCAAGAGATGGGGAACTCGTGACTTTTCAGGGTAGCCCAAACTCTCATGGGACATCAGACAGTTCTCCATCACACCAAGGCAACACTGATTTGTTTATATTTTTAGAGAGAGAGGAAGGGAGAGGGAGAGAGAGAGAAACCTCGATGAGAGAGAAGCATCCATCCGCTGCTTCCTGCACATCCTCTCCTAAGGGTCAAGTCTACAATCCGGGCATGTGCCCTACCCAGGAATCAAACAGGTGACCTCTTGGTGCATGGGATGATGCTCAACCAACTGAGCCACACTGGCTGGACCATCGCTCACTTTCTTGACTCCAACAGAAGTCACTGAGAACAAGCCAGTCTTTCAAGTATTTGAATCCATAGAGGCTTGTTCCCAAGTAGCTCCTTCTTCAGGTGAAACAGCCTTTGTCCTTTTGATGTTGCTCACATGACACCCTTTATTATCTCTGTGACATTCTGCTAACCATGCTCTGAAATGCTGAGTTCAGGACAGGACATTCGTGGAGAGCACAGAGGCCAAGAATATGTATTCTAGAACCTGGTCTATATTTCCAGCATGTAATAATTACAAGAGTTCCATGATGGGACTTGGGAGGCCCAACAAGGGTGAGCCACATATGTAGTTTACCTGTAAACTAAACAGCACTTCCTCCAAACCTGAATAGGATTGTTAACTGCCAGACAGCTCAGGGCATTTTATTGCCTCCTATTGGCCAAACACCCGAACAGCTGTAGGCTATTCCCCAAACTGACAATGCTTCTGTTACCCTACCCTTTGTCCACCTGCCTTAGGACAAATTGTGGGCTCCTAGACAAGGGAGTCTTTAGCTCCTTTAGCTGGAGATCCTCTGATCCCCACTCCCCTCAATGCCTTTCAAAATTATCTTTCATCTTTGGACTCCTCTTTAATCATCTTCTACACACAGTCCCTTTCTCCAAAATGCTGAACCCTTTGTAAGGCAATATATGGGGGCTGAGCTCTTCCCACTTGCCTATCTGACTTCTCCTTCTGGCAGGGACCACATGCTTGTCAGGTGGCCCTCTGTGCTTGGGGAAGTACAGTTATCTCCACAGAACTAAAGGAAGCCAGTAGACATGTGAATGCTGTACGCATGAACACTGACACCCCTATCAGCCTCAATGCTGTGCAGAGCTGCAGGGCCTGTGGGTAATTACATCACAACCACTGCAGGGAACAGAATAAAGCATCCGTGCAGATACCCAGGATGGTTTTCATTCCAGAGCTTCTCTGGCAGACATCTAGACTCCAGGCAGATAAGGAGTAAACACGACTCCAGCCCAAAAAGCTCCAAACAAGTTCACATTTACCAGCACAATTGTTTACCAACCTGCTTTCCTCCAAAGAGGCACACCGGTAGATTCAGTCAATGAGAGCAATTGCTCCCGATTAGCTTTACCAGCTGCACTCTGCAACATCCTTAGGCCTCTTGGTGCACTCAGCACTCCTGGGTTACAGGGATAGGCCCAATCAGAGAGGAGATAGTTGTCTAAAGTTAAGTGGAGAGCAGATTTATGGCCCAGAAGGCAAAGAACTCTCCTTAAAGAAAAGAAGTTGCATTATTTATCTCTCTCTCTCTCTCTCTCTCTCTCTCTCTGCCTTAAATAAGTAGAAATGCACTAATTTACCAAGTGGCTTCTGGGAGCAGCTCCAGAGCACAAACACAATAATATTGTAGTATCAAATTGGAAACAGAAGATTCAAAGGCAAAATCTTCCTGAAAGAAGGCGGAGGGGAACCAAAGGAGTCTGTGAGACTGAGCAGCTATCCAGGATGACAGCTTTAATAGGTGCTTCCCTAAGTTAGCACTCTGGGCTATCACTAGGGCACACACACACACACACACACACACACACACACACACCCTGGTCAGTTGTGCTGCTATGCCTGCCACCTGCCACTCTGCGTGCTTTGTCTTTCTCCCAGTGCAGGAGGAATGCCAGACCTTGAATGAGGGAGCTCGATCTGATACGCTGGGAAACCTATGCTCACGTTAAGCTCTGCTCCTCTTAATTCTACCTGGTGACAGGTATGCAGGAGCTCAGAATTCTGGGCATTTGGCCTGGGTAAGAATTAATTAGAAGGACTGTCTGCTCAAAATGAATTTCAGATCAAATAAACCAACACATAGCCCAAACTGGCTGGATTTGAATCCTGGCTCTGTCATCTCTTATCTCTGTAATTCTGAGCAAATTGCTTAATTTTCCTATGCCTCAATTTCCCCATTTGTAACATGGCGGCACTAATGCCTACCTTACAGAGTTGTGATTGCTGGCAGTAATTCGATAGAGAACATGGCACAGGTACTCCACAAAGGGGCCGGAAGACAAGGATAGGCAGGGGAGGATTGGCTAAAAATGTGCTCTCTCCTCAGAATATTTATCTCTGCATTAGGACTACAGCCTCAAGGGGGAAAGATAGTCCAAAAAATTAATTCTGAAGAAACTGGAAAAATGAGTCAGGGGGGAAGAAAAAGTAAGACACTTGAAACTCAGAGCTACCTACAAAGCCTACAGAGTCTTGGTCTGAAAGCACACCCAATGACTAGACCCCTGGGAAGGATCTGCAAACACAGTCATGAGCCTAGGAGTTGCACACAGACATGAGAAAGGGCATTAGAAGGGGACAAGGAAAGAAGGGAGGTGCCACAGTAATGACCTTGTGGGACAAAGAGAAGATTGGGCCAAAACGGGTTTGGCTCAGTGGATATAGCGTCGGCCTGTAACTGAAAGATCCCAGGTTCGATTCCGGTCAAGGGCATGTATCTTAATTGTGGGCACATCCCCAGTGGGAGGGTGTGCAAGAGGCAGCTGATCGATGATTCTCTCTCATCAATGTTTCTAGCTCTATGTCTCGCTCTTCCTCTCTGTAAAAAAATCAATAAAATATATTGAGAGAGAGAGAGAGAAAGAGAGAGAGAGAGGAGATTGGCAGGTGAGCAAGCCAATCAGAGGCATTGAAAGTGAGAAAAGAAAGTCCAGAAGCCTATGCTCAGATTCTAAAGGAAATGGGAAAAACAGAAACTAGAGAGAAAGTGGTCAGAAATACAGATGGAAAGAAGGAAAATTAGATGAGCCACTTCAAAAGGCCGAGACAGCTATGACATGTTTTCCCTCTACTGCCTTTATTGTGTGAGACGTGTGTCTGAAGGGAGGGGTGCCCTTCTTGAGCTGGCTGTGGTTAATCACGTGGAGAGCAGCAGTTCTCAAGGGTGCTGAGTGGGGACAAATGAGGCAGTAAAAATGACAGGCCCCCGGGGCGCTCAGGGAATTAGTTGGTGTTCTGTGGGATCGCTTTCAGGGATGCACTGAGGAGGCCGCTCTCTGGGGAGGAAGACAGACTCTTGAAATACATGGTAACTGCATTTGGAAAGACAGAAGCAGCAGCTTTGGAGCTGCTGTCTGGTCCCTAAGTCCTGCACCAGAGAAGGGCCATGTGATTCAAGGGAGAATATAGGCTCTCCTGTTTCTTGACATTTGGTGATCTGGAAAAAGCCTTTCATTAGAAATCAAATCATCGCACCCAGTTTATGACCCTCTGCAAATTTCCTGGAAGGGAAGGCGGGGAATATTCATCGTGCTAAATAGTATTACTCAGCAATCTTATATTATCTCATTTAGTCCTTTAGCAACCCTGTGGAGTAGGTACTAATACCTGCTTATGGATAGACTGTTTGCAAAAATAGCTACAATGATACTCCAGCCTTGGGTACTTCCTTCCTACACTAACTCTGAGCTTGGCTTTGTGATTTGCTTTGGCCAATAAGTCAACAGCAAATGTGACACCTGCAGAGATTGAAAATTACTTGCTCATTGGAATCTGTTCTTACTGTGCTTGGAACCATTGTGCCACCAAACAAGCCCCCACCCCCATCCCCAGCTGGCCTGCTGGGCAAAGAAAGATACTTGTCAAATTATCACCAAAGCACCAGGTGATAGGGAGTCGTATCAACCACCAGGCCTGTGAGTGTGGCCATTCTATACCATGCGGCCAAGTCACCCAGAAGACCACAGACACATGGGCCCAGCAAAGTTCAGCCAAGCTGGCCCTGACAAAATAACAGCCCAGCCAAACCTACAGAGTCTTTTTGAGAAATAATAAATATCTTTAAGTTGATACATTTTTTGAGTGGTTTGATTACACAGCAAAGTTAACAGGTGAATGAGGAGAATGAGGCTCAGAGAAATGACTTGGAGAATTTTACCATATTATGCCTCTTTCTTAGACCTCAAGTTCCTCAACTCTCAAATGAGGGCAGTGCCCTGACCAGTTTGGCTCAGTGGATAGAGTGTTGGCCTGGGGACTGTAGGGTCCCAGGTTTGATTCCAGCCAAGGGTATGTACCTCAGTTGTGGGTTAGATCCCCAGTGTAGTTCGTGTAGGAGGCAGCTGATTGATTTTTTTCTCTCATCAGTGTCTCAACTATCCCTTTCCCTCCCTCTCCATAAAATCAATCTATACTAATAAAAGGATAATATGTAAATTGGTCACAATGCCCTCTCAGTAACAACAGAACAGCAGGCTGCATGAGGCGACAAGGCTGGTGGGGGGGGGGGGCAGTAAGGGGTGACCAGGTCAGCAGAGGGGAGGCAGTGATGAGCAACCAGGCTGGCAGGGGGCAGTTGGAAGCGACCAGGCTGGCATGGGGGGATAGTTGGGGGTGACCAAGATGGCAGGGAGGCAGTGAGGGGTGACCAGTCTGGAAGAGGGGGGCAGTGAGGGGCAACCAAGCCAGGGAGGGCAGTTAGGGGCAATCAGACTGGCAGGCAGAGGCGGTTAAGGTTGATCAGACAGGCATGTGAGCAATTAGGAGCTAGTGGTCCTGGATTGTGAGAGTGATGTCTATCTGTCAGTTTCAGCTCAATCCTAGGCAATCAGACATCCCATAGGCTATCTCTGTGATGTATAGAATCCCTTTCCAACTCAAATGCTCACATTAAACCAAGGATACAAAACAGCTTGCCTACCATCTGTCTTCTCCATCTTAGGAAATGCTGACCGTCAGTCTCTTAGGCACTCTTCATTCGATGAGTCTGTCAAATGTGTTGGACAGTTCTAAAAGAAAGATAGAAAAGTGGGGATTCTTGTTAGAGTTAAAGTAAGTATGGAGGGAATACAGCACCAAAGAAAGTAACGACCATCCTTGCCTTTGTCCTGGAGGTGCCATGAGCTCATAGCCCTCCAAGGATGCCTGGATGCACCCTAGATTCCAATCCTGGGAATGTTAGCAATGGCTGACACCAAAGGAAGCATTTGGCCCAACCTACTCACTTGGCAGATGAGGAAACTGAGACTCGGAAGTTAATTGCTTGGTGCAAGGCCTCTCGGCGGTGTGTTAGTGAAGGAGCTGGGACCTGACCCAGGGCTTCGATAACCAGCACGTTGTTCTTTGCACAAAGCTGAAATCTATTCACCCCACCCCACCCCCATCATGGTAAAATCATTATAATCTATTTAATGAAAAAGCTGGAATCAGAGTACCTGCTAACGACCTATGGCATCCCAATCAGATTCAAGACAAAGATGAGATCATTGTAGGTGCTGAGTAGGAGCTGATACTTAGAGGTGATTTCCAACCATGGTCCGAACAAGGGGAAGTGCTGTCTGGGTGGCCAGAAACCATCAGTCACGATTCAAGCAACAGACTGTCCTGACTCTGAATTAGGGCACCTTGAGGTTTGATCATAAATTTCCCCCAAAGTTTTAATCCATTCCCCAGACTCTTTCTTCAAATGGTAAACAACCTGCCTTGGGTCGCTATTATAATAAATCACCCAGAAAATTGTTTTCTGTGTGTGATTGTAACTCCACACACATCCTAATAATGAATTATCTGTGGCACATCAGCAGTGGAAACTGGGTTGTTTTAGGAATTTTAATGTGCTCTACAATGCACTCAGACCAGAAAAGTGTCCCAGGGATGAGGGAAGGACTGAGGAAAACGGGGAGTGAGAGAAGGAGGAGGATGGCCTCCAGCAACCCAGGATGGAAAAAGGGGGGACAAACAAGTAAACTGGAGAAGACGGCTGGGAATTATCAGGTCTGCCAAATAAGAGGAAGTTTGAAGTTTGCCTAACAGAAAGTTTCGTGCAGTTTCTTTCCCCCTTCCTTCCTTCCTTCCTTCCTTCCTTCCTTCCTTCCTTCCTTCCTTTTAATAGGTTTTTATTGATTCCAGAAAGAGGAAAGGAGAGGGAGAGAAATATAAAAACATCAATAATGAGTGAGAATCACCGATTGGCTGTCTCCTGCATGGCCCTTACTCGGGATCGAGCCTGCCAACCCAGTGTATGCCCTAACTGGTAATCGAACTATGACTTTCTGGATCATAGGTTGATGCTCAACCACTGAGCCATACTGGCTGGGCCATGCACCTTTTATGAGTACTGCTACTGCCTCTGAAGTCTGGCCCTGCTCCTGCCTTGGCTCCTCCCAAACATGACCCACACAGCTGCCAGAAGGGCCTTTCCCTGTGCAGGTGGAACAGAGCCCGGACGGTCAGGCAGGGTTTCTATAGGCAAACACACTCCTGGCAGAAGGATCACTGACGCTAAGCACCTCGCTTAGCTTTGAGGCAAAAAGTACTTAAGTTTGGGGGCAGCATAGAGCTGGAGTAGAGAAATTAGGGGAAAGGGGGTTCCAAATTGGGGTGAGGGAGGGTCACCCATGTTAGAAAGAAAAACTTCTGTAAAAGCCTAAGTGTTCATCGATAGATGAACGTATTAAAAAAATGTGAGATATATATATATATATATATATATATATATATATATATATATATATATATATATATATAATGGAATATTGTTCAGCCATAAACAAACAAAAAAAGAGAAAATCTTGACATTTGTGACAATATGGATGGACTTTGAGGGCATTATGCTAAATGAAGTAAATCCTGCAGAGGAAGACAAATATTGTATAATCTCATTTATATGTGGAATCTAAACAGCAAGACAAAATAGAGAAAAGATTGATGGTTGCCAGGAGGTAGGGGACAGATGAAATGGGTGAAGGGTCAAAATATACAAATTTCCGCCAAAACCGGTTTGGCTCAGTGGATAGAGCATCGGTCTGTGGACTGAAAGGTCCCAGGTTTGATTCTGGTCAAAGGCATGTACCTTGGTTGCAGGCACATCCCCAGTAAGGGGTGTGCAAGAGGCAGCTGATGGATGATTCTCTCTCATTGATGTTTCTAACTTTCTGTCCCTCTTCCTCTCTGTAAGAAATCAATAAAATATATTTTAAAAATAAAAAAATAAAAATAAAAAGATGGCTTTGTATTTATATATATATACACACAAATTTCCTGTTGTAAGATATCTAAGTCCTAGGCATGTAATGTACAGCATGGTGACCATCTATATATATAAAAGGCTAAGTGACCTACTGTCCATCCATTCAACTGACTGGCCGGCTGGTACATATGACATGCCCTGGCAATTCTATATAATAAAAGGCTAATATGCAAATTGTCCCCTTGACTGGGAGTTCGATCAGGAGTTGGACCAGGGGTCGGGGATGGCTGGCCAACCACCCAAGGTCCCTCCCCCTGGCTGGCCCCACCCCAGATCGCCCAATCGAGGCAGGCCAGTCAGATTCCACCGTGCATGAATTCGTGCACCAGGTCTTTAGTTTAAAAATAAACGTTGACTTTCTCATGCATGATACATATAAAGCTCTTATTGGTGCCAACTGCATTGCATATGTTTTGATCTGTCATTGTCGATTGTGAATTTGGTTGACACTTCTATTATAGAGAAAGGGCTAATAGTGATATTAAAATATTTCTTCTAATTACTTTCCTTTCAATGTGCACGAATACATGCACTGGCCACTAGTAGTTAATAATATTGTACTGTGTATTTGAACATTGCTAAGTCAGTAGATCTTAAAGTTCTCATCATGAGGGGGAAAAATTGTAACTATGGTGGTGATGGATATTAACTAAATATGTTGAGGTAATGATTTTGCAATGTATACATGTATCAAATAGTTATGTTTTATGTTATACATCTAAAACCAGTACAATTCATTCTATGTCATTGTAGAACGCATTGTACTGGTTTTCAAAAATAAATATAATTTTCTCAATTTAAAAAATAAATATAATTTTTAAATAAATAAAAGAAAGAGAAGGTTCCCAGGCAGAAGACACGACTACCAATCTCAATGCTGCATGTCCACAGTCTGCAGCCAGTGGTGGAGCCTCCCAGAGGCTCGGCAGCTTCCAGGTGAAGCCTGGGGAAGAAAAGGGGGAGGACACAAACCCTAAGCTTGGCCCCTCATCCTGTTTCTCTATCATCGCGGCTTCTCCTCTCCCTTTTGCTCCCCTCTTCCTCCCACCCCATAACATTACTGAGCAATAGGGAGAACCTGGAGCCCTTGGCATAAATAATCTCATGCAATCTGTTCCCTAACCCCGAGAGAATTACTATTGTCCCCATTTTTCAGATAGGGAAACTGAGGCTAAGAGTTTACAGGTCTGTCCAAAATAACATAACAACCAAATACTGGAGCAGAATTCATCCTCAAGTCTAACTGACTCCAAGCCTGTGCTGGGAGCAGGAGTGATTTGCAAACATTTGTCCATCCCTATAAGCCAGCCTGGTGCTGTGACTGGTTCCTAGCTCTCTGTGTAAGGGGAAATGTTCCTGACCCCCATGCTTCTCTTCTCCCACGGGTGTACATGAAACACCTTCTGGGCACAGAGAAGTAACTGCTCTCTCAGGAGGCCACCTGGCCAGCGGTGTGACCTGCTTCTCCAAGGCTGTGCACCAAGCAGCAATGCTCCACCTGAGCGAGAGGGGGCCGCCTGAGTGCAGATGGACCTGTGGCTGCACAAACTTACTATCACCTCTGGAGTTCAAGTACACTCCCTGCCTTTGGCTACAGTTGGGTTCAGCCCTTCATGTATCAGATCAAAGGTTTCAAATGATTATGCAGCACACATTAGATCAAGTTTCACTAAAACTCTCTCTCTCTCTCTCTCTCTCACACACACACACACACAACTGTAATATTGGAGGCCTCTAATAGTTCTCTTAGACTTTAATTTTAGTAAAATTAATCATTCCAAGGCTACAGAAATTAAATGGAGCTGACATCCAACTCTCTGAAGCAGAGGGCTCAGCAAGCTTCACTCAAAAGGGCTCTAACACGGGAAGAAAAGAGGGGATTGTCATGCCCACATCATGCCACTTCCAGCCCTGCCCACCTCAGGCTTCTCCACTCTGGTCCATACTCCTTGTGGTGGACAGCTTGGCATTTAGCTAAGGGGAGTTTCTTTGAATGAAAGTGGGGTGTTTGATGTGGTTATGTGAGTGCAATTGAGAAATAATTGCCCCATCAACCCATCCGGCTTTGTTTGCGTTACAACAGAATATGAAAATAGCTTTGTTGGACTGAATTCTTCTTTGAAATGAAATTTTGCAACCTTCCTAAACATTTAAAAATTTGACCTCAAGCAATTTATTCCTGTTTCTATTAAGTTGTATCCCCAGTGTTCAGAACCTTGTAATACCTGATGTTGTTATGCAACTTTGCATTTGCTTATGGGCCTATCCCAAGATCAAGGATGCCAATTAGGCCCCAACCTCTCTCATTAGCTCAGTGTTCTAAATGTTTTGAGTACACACAGCTTTATCTCTCTCTAGCTCTTCTCCCCTACTAATCCGTAAGCCGGCGGAAGGTCAGAATTCCTGCAGGACTCCTTTCTGTACCCCCTCCCCATGCCATCCCAACTCCTGTGTCCTCACAGGTGGCAGTTCAGGGTAACATCCCCAAGTTACAAGTGAGGAAACAAAGGCACAGAGAAGCTATGTGGCCCATGCAAAGTTACCCAGTTAATGTGGGGCAGGGGAGTTTGTGTGACTCCCTCACTTCACATGGCCCCCCAAAGCCAGCTGGCAGTGAAGAGGTGGGGACTGAGGCTGCCCATTCAAAAGCCACCAAAGGCAGTCAGTGGCAGACGGCCCAAGGTGTCATCACCAGGCCATGTTAGAAACAGCTCCAGCTGGGTGCCTGCCGGGGAGCAGGGATTGTCCGGGTCGGCCCCACTCCTGCAATATGGACTGACTCTCTCTCTCTCTCCATGTATTTCTTTTATGATGCCATTTCAATGTCATTTCTAATTTCAAACCCAAATTCAAAGGAGCCTTCCTTCACGTCTCCGAAATTGAAACCTAGTTCTGAGCTCTTGTTCCCTTCAAGCCTCTCTTCGTTCTGCAATAATAAAAATGCTGTATTTCATCCCAGAACAGGCTGCATGCCAAAATAAACAGCACCTTGGATTTCCTTGAAAAGAAACCTTGGCTCAAAGCACAGCCTTGCTGCCCCGAGAATTCTTGGAGAAGTCAACCTGACAAAGTCAAATATTTAGCAAGGTAGCGCTCCAAGCAGAGACCCCACCGAGCGAGACCCCGCCGATCCCCGCACACAGGATCACTCGCAAAGACAAAGCGCTCTTTCCAAAAGAGAAGAGAAGGTTCCTCCCAGACCTCGCACCGGTCCTGCCAAAAGGAGGAGCGCTTCTTGTTTCCCCACTCCCCCGGCCAGGCCACCAGGGGTAAACGTCCTTTGTGCTAAGCAGCAGGAGGCATCTGACCACAGGGCGAGAGGGCTGCAGCCCAGACAGCCCAGTGAGCTCCTGGAAGATTCCGCCAGCTGAGTTCTCCAGCCGGCTCACTTCCTACCGCCCCAGGAAACAAAGGCAACTCGTGCTCACCGAGTGACACACTAACATAATCTCATTAACTCCCTGCCCGCAGTTTTCGGCCAGCGTCTGTCACTCTTGCCTGCATTGCAGCAGCGGAATCTGGAGCTTCGTGGAGAAGAGAAAACTGCCGCCCTAGCCGGTTTGGCTCAGTGGATAGAGCGTCAGCCTGCGGACTGAAGGGTCCCGAGTTCGATTCCGGCCAGGGCACATGCCCGGGTTTGGGTACGATCCCCAGTGGGGGGCGTGCAGGAGGCAACCGATCAATGATTCTCATCATTGATGTTTTTGTCTCTCTATCCCTCTCTCCCTCCTCTCTGAAATCAATAAATGAGAGAGAGAGAGAGAGAGAGAGAGAGAGAGAGAGAGAGAGAGAGAGAAGAACTGTCACCAGCAAAGCAGTGGCCACATTACCTCCCCTGGCATCCCCTCCCCCCACCCTATCCTTTCTCTTCCCCCCTCCCCCCACCCCCTCTCACCCTCCTGCCACAGCCCGGAGCAGGAGGAATGGGCTGCGGACCTGGCCGATGGCTGGGAGTTGAGCACAGTGGCATTGGCTGCCCAGTTTTTGCAGGGTTTTTGGTCAGGTGATCTGCGACCTTGCTCGAAATGCAAATCCCGACTTCCTCCCCACTGCCAGGAAGAGAGAGGGGAGCGGGGTCAGGAAGGCATTCCAGGCTCCAGGAGCTGAGCCCTGGGTCTGGCCGAAAGCGGGGCAACGCGCAGATCCTCCCCTTGGAAAGTTAGTTCCCAGGCTGCTGCCACTTGGGGGACGCATGTAAAGACACCGACACCGCGCACACCTACCTCTTCCCCGACCCCCAGAGCTAGGCGCCGGCCTGGGAGGGCGGTGATCGTGAAGGATGCTTCCCTCCTCCCGCCCGGTCGCTGGGGTGGCTCATTAGCAAAATTGCTTCCTTAAGAGTGGAAGCCCTCCTCCCTGCATCGCCTTCTTCCCGTCCTGCCCGATAAACTTCTTCTCCCACCGGCCTCCCGGGGTCCCATTCCCAACACCCAGACCGCTCGCTGCCCTGTAAGTCCGTGGGGCAGCGCGGGGGACAGAAACAATGACCTGTGAGCTCCCCGGGCAGCTCCGGCTTCGGCTGCCTGAGCGCTGAGACGCACCCAATTCTGGAAGGAAAAAAAAAAAAAAAAAAAGCAAGGAAGTACCTACTGTAAGGTTCCAGCTCCACGCACGGATTCCAAGTGCAGAGCGCCCCGGGGACCTCAGGGCGGCGGGCGCAGGAGCGGGAGGAGGCGGCCGCGAAGGAGGGAGGCGCGGAGAGTCTCGCCAGCCGCTGCCGCCGCCGCCGCCGCCGCCGCCGCCGCCGCCGCCGCCGCAGCCGGGAGCAGAGGCGGGCGGGGAGCACCGCGCAGAGGCGCAGTTTCTCCAAACCCAGCACCACCTCTGGCCCTGAAGGATTTGCAGGGGGTTGGGGCAGGCCAAAGGGGGCCAGGAGACAGTCTGGGCAGGCTCAGGAGTAGAGAGACCTTGTCCCCTTGACCTTCTGGGGCTGCAGCCAAAGGAGGCTGTCCCAGGAAATAAAGCCCGGTGAGCAAGACATGTCGAAGCAGCTCTGACCTTCACAGACACCGCCTGTCGAGATGTGCTTTCAAAGGCCGGGGCAGATTCCTGTCTCACCCACGCTGAACCTGATGCCGGGGGCTGCGTGCCACCCTGACATGCTGCCTGCACGCAGCCCGGGAAAGCTGGGAAGCACTTTACATCCTGGGTCCCATGTATCCTCACACCCGGGCAAGGCAGCCCGGAGGGGCGAGCACCCCACTGGACAGGGAGTCTCAGTAACTTCCCTGACAGAATCTGGATGAAAAAGAAGGAGTGCCTGAGGTAGGACTCTGTGTGGTTCCCACTACTCTGGATCACACTGCTCGTTTTCCTTGAAAGATTCTAGCGCATCTCACTCAAGAGAGCTTGAGAGACTTACCGAAGGGCACGGGGATGTGATGGACAAGGTTGTGGAACACCAACATCCCGTTTTCTCAAATGCTAAACATATTTTTTTCTGTTAACTGAGTACATGGACCAAACCATCAGGATTTTTAAAAAAATCATAAATATACCTTATGAAAAAAATATATACTGAAAGAGCAAAGCCTCTCTGATAGATTGCAGATTGTCAGTGATAACCCCACCAAACTGGCCGGAGAACGCCTCTGACATTCTGCCAGGAAGCCAGTGAAAAACAACTCTTCATTTTATCAGCCCCTGTGACTTTGCAGCCACTCATGCCCCCCCCTCCGGTGTGCTACGTGACGGGAGATAAGCGCTCTCTTTTCCTCTCCCAGAATAAATTCTTCTTCATCCAAGACAAACAGGTGAGAGGCTTACTCCCAAGCGGGCACAAGGGCCAGTTCCCACCTGCTCTCCAAGCTCTGCTCAGCATCTCCTCGCCGTGCAGGGGCCACCGCCCGCTTCACCTGCTCCTGTCTGCCCCCCTCCCCTCTGCAGCAGGAATCACCCTCACTGCTGCCTCTGTGTCTCTCCCTGACACGTGTCAGACTAGATGCTCCACAAAGTATATGAAACTGAACTAATCCACAAAACCGATGTCTCTAAACACAAGTGGCCCTGAGTACCACCGAGCACCTCTGCTTTTCCACCAGGCTTCAGGCCTCTCATCAGATTAAAGAAGGTAGTAGAATGAGCGAAGGAAATACCAGCCCCTCAACTGTGACCCTGATCAGCTTGGCTCAGATGGTAGGACAGAAGACTAATAGGAAAACACACACACACACACACACACACACACACACACACACACACACCAATGTCCCCAGACCTCTTTCTGGAGACAAGTTAACACTTTTAGTTCTGCGGGTCTCACAGAGATGCTGAGACAGACAGACACTGTGCTGGCCGCCCACGTCTCAAAGAGGAGAAGAGACTCTCCTGCCTTCTTAACTTGTCCGGTCAAGCAAGGAGGTGACCAGAACAGGGAATGTTATCCTCCGTTTTCCAGATGAGGAAACAAAGCTTGCTTCCTAGGTTACAAAGCTAAAAAACGGCAAAGCCTCAACTCAAACCCAGATTTTCTGTCTCTCAAAGAATACCCTTTCCTCTAAGCCAGATGGCCTGAACTGGGATGCAGGTGAATGCAGGTGACACACAAATACCAGGACGTAAGCTTCAATGCTGGTGTTGTCCAAGCAAAAGTCATCTCACATGGAGAGACGTGTGTGTGTGTGTGTGTGTGTGTGTGTGTGTATAATTGATTTCAGAGAAGAAGGGAGAGGGAGAGAGAGACAGAAACTTCAATGATGAGACTCATCGATCAGCTGTATCCTACCCAACCTCCCACCCCAAGCCCCATCCTCACCTGTACCCACCCCACACTGGAGATCGAGTCGGCAACCTGGACATGTGCCCTGACTGGTAATCGAACCGTGACCTTCTGGTTCATAGGTTGATGCTCAACCACTGAGCCATACCCGGCCAGGCTGGAGAGGCAGTCTTTATCGGAAACCCCAACAAATTTCTCTAAGAGAGTCTGTGCTTCTTTGGGGGAATCCCCGCCATGGCCTCTGGCCTTTGCCATGTCTGGGATACCACCATGTATAACCCCACCCCTCTGCCTCTCTCAGACATATGTATGACTTAAGATGAGCAGCCAACTTTATATTACCACCAAACCACCCAGAGAATCCCTGGACCAAACACATGTATCCACAAGAACTTTTCTGGCAGGGATTCTTTGCCTGAGGGGAGGTTTGATTCCGTCTGCAATTTAAAAACCTCCAACGTCTGCCCCAGCATGGGGAAAAGGTGGACTGTCCAAGTCTCCAAGTCAGGGGAGATGGACGCTAGGCAAGAGGGGAAAGGAGATGGAACTATCTTAAGAATGTGCCCTCAATCTAAGCAGTCCTCGGGGCCTTTGCCCTTTGCTGGGGAACAGCTATTTGTGGTCTCTGTGTTATGTGTTCCTTAGGAGGAACACCTTTGTTAGGTGCAGGTGCTGCTGAAATAGTGTCTCGGAGAGCCCAGTTACCTCCACGGCCATTCGGGCAGAACGCAACTTGAACTGATGAAAAAAGAAATCAGGCCTGTGGGACCTGTGGGTGTAGCAGTCCAGGGAGGAGCATCAGCCATTCTAAAGACTGACCCTTTAAAGCAGATGAACCCAAAACCGGTTTGGCTCAGTGGATAGAGCATCGGCCTGCGGACTGAAAGGTTCCAGGTTAGATTCCGGTCAAGGGCATGTACATTGGTTGAGGGCGCATCCCCAGTGGGGGCTGTGCAGGAGGCAGCTGGTCTCTGTTTCTCTCTCATCGATGTTTCTGGCTCTCTATCTCTCTCCCTTCCTCTCTGTAAAAAATCAATAAAATATATTTTAAAAAAAAAATAAAGCAGATGAAGATTTCTCAGGGAGGAAGCAGATTGCCAGCGATAACCCAGAAGGCTGCACTCATCCCGGGAAAAATGCTCCTTGGACAAAAATAAAGGCTTCAGTATCACAGGGAAAGAGACCTTCACTCTTCGTCCCTCCCTTCACTTAGAGCTTCCAGGGGCTCTTAGTCCGTGACTCAAACTCACTAAAATCAAGAGGCCAACAGACAAATGAGGAAGGGGTGTGAGCAGGCATTCAAAAAAAGAAGAAATGCCAATGGTCAATATCTGAAAAGTGTTTAACCCCATGAATTAATAATCCAGGATACCACATAAATATCTAAATGTCCTGTTCTTTATTTACCCTACACAGGGCCAGGCACTCTAGGTTTGTTCCAAACACCATCCAATTGAATTCCCACAATAATCCTATGAAACAGTTTTGTTATTTTAATTATCCAAGGACAGAGCTGAAGCGTGAGCAGTTACCCAGGTACTGAGACCATCGGAGCTAAGATTCGAATTCAGTGAATGTGCTAAGAGCAGCACCATGGTACAATACAGACTCTCTTACAAGTTAAAGCAAATTTTTAAAATTATTATTAAAGAAAGATCTTCAGCCCTAGATGGTTTGGCTCAGTGCATAGAGCATAGGCCTGTGGACAAAAGTCCCGGGTTTGATTCTGGTTAACAGCATTTATCCTGGTTGCAGGCTTCTCCCCAGCCAAGGCCCTGGCCAGGGGCTGGTGCAGGAAGCAAACAATCACCGTGTTTCTCTCACATCGATGTTTCTCTCTATCTTTCCCGTTCTCTTCCACTCTCCCTAAAGTCAATGGAAAAATATCCTTGGGCAAGAATTAATAAAACAAAACAAAAAGTAAGGAAGATCTTCAATGTTGATAAAGAGCGTGGTGAGAACAGGACATACCCTTCACAGAAGTGAGAGCTGCATAGCAGGTTTCCTTGGTCTAAAACAAATCATTGTTATGACTGATATAGTCTTACAGAATAAAAAATAAATTTTCGGGGGGGGGTGTGAGAAATCACTATAATCCAACTACCTTGATGCTAGTTTCATGTCTACTATTTTGCATATTTTAACATGATTGACAAAAGCAAGTTCTATGGTGGTAAAGAGTCTGGCCTCCAAGTCAAGGAATCCCAGCTCTGCCCCTGACTGTGTAACCTTGGGAGAATACTTTCTCTCTCTGCTCCAGCTGCTTCATTTGTAAACTAGGCATAGTAATGCACCCTTTTCATCATGGATCTGTCAGGAGGATTAAATAAGGTGATAATACATGCATGTCACTTAGAACAAGGTCTATGTTAATCAATAGTAAATATATGTGCTATTAATATAATATGTATTCATCTATGAATTCAGCTTTGAACTTAAAATTCTATCACATAACCATTTTAAAGTAAGGTTATACTTGCTTTATACTTATTAATGTAAATGGCTATACAAGATTTGACTGTCTCAGGCCTTATTTTCCAAAGCCACTATCTCCTGGAGATCATTCCGCCTCATTTTAACTCTCCCTTCAACACCACTAGATCAGCCAGCCTGACTGGGCAAGTCTTCAGGGATGTCCCAGTTGGGTGGCTGGAACTCAGCTGCCACAAGTGATGCTGAATGGTTAAGAGCACGAGTGTTGAGGTGATACAGATCAAGTTCAAATCCTGGCTATGTGACCTTGAGCAAATTTCCTTATTCAAGAAGAACTCAGCTCAGTACATGGTTTAAGGACCTCATGAGACAAGGTATGTAAAATGCTTATGTCAATGCTCAGTATTAATAAATACCCAACAAATCTTGGATATGATTAAATTTTTAAACCTACAATGTTTTAAGTAAGGAAAGGTCCAGGATCAGGTTTGCTTTATTTATAATCCTATTTCTAACAGTTGGCATAGTAGAATGCAACAAAAATGTGTTGAATAATTAAATTAATTAATGTATGTATCATAGAGACTATCAAAGCAGGAATGAATATTTTTAAAACACATTTATTTAGATATAATCTACATACATACAATTTACCCATATAAATTGTACAATTCAATAGGTGTATAGTCAGAGTTGTGTATACATTTCCACAACCTAATTTTTTAAATTGTGGTAAAATATACAT